TGGGGGGGGGGTCCGGTCGTGGGGCCTGAACTCTGGGCCTGGGTGCTGTCCCTCAGCTCTTCAGCTCAAGGCTAGCGCTCTACCACTTGAGCTACAGCGCCACTTCTGGCTTTTTTCATTTTGCTTATGTGGTGCTGAGGAATCGAACCCAGGGCCTCAAGCATGCAACGCAAGCGCTCTACCACTGAGCCACCTTCCCAGCCCCCAAAATAACAATTTTTTAAAAAGAGAGAGAAAAAAAGACTAAAGAAGCCAGCCTGAAGATTCCCTTCTGGACAGTTTGAGCATTTTTTTGCTACTTCAAACAATTTTATTATGCACATGCAGAATATAAAGAAGTTAGTTTTTAACCCTTACTGAGTTAATGGTCTAATAGAAGAGAGAAAATATATCAAGTTATAAGCAACTCTGGAATATACTTACTAGCCAGTTGATAATTTACATAGTTATGATACAGATGTTTCATTTTGTAATGCCAGTTTATAATTATTTAGAAGGAGATAACACACAGTGTACAAGGTCATATCTTAAAGTGGAGTATTTAAAAATATTTAGTATTTTGCTAAACTTTAGCTGAATTTCAGTTATAGATTAACAATTTTTGAAATATTCAGAAATCTTGTGTGTCTGTTGAGGAATCAACAGGGAAATTAAAACAATGTGTTTATATCCACATTATATGTTACATATTATATATTTACTATATATAGTATTTATATATTGCATATATTTACTATATATTGTACTTATTTACTATGCAAAAAGTACACACATTTTATATATTATATATTATATTTACTATATAGTATTTCTTTTTTTTGGGGGGGGGTCCGGTCATGGGGCCTGAACTTTGGGCCTGGGTGCTGTCCCTCAGCTCTTCAGCTCAAGGCTAGCATTCTACCACTGGAGCCACAGCACCACTTTCGGCTTTTTTCATTTTGCTTATGTGGTGCTGAGGAATCAAACCCAGGGCCTCAGGCATGCAAGGCACACGCTCTACCACTGAGCCATCTTCCCAGCCCCTATAATATTTCTTATATATAATATATGTTTACCATATATTGCATTGTAAATACTGTATATAGTACTTATACTATATATACTACCTATATATAGTACTTATGAGTTCATAATCATACTTTGAAAATTCATTAGTCATCATTACAGATTGCTGGGCATCAACATGCTAAAAATTGATTATGAAGATGAGGATGAAGAAGATGAACGCAAAGAATACAGTGTTAAAATAAAACTTGGCCCTGAACAATTTATCTCTCAGACTCTGCTTATAAAATTACAGTATTATTTCACAGGATTTTTGTGAGGATTAGGGAAATAATAGCATGTACCAGGAAATTTCAAGGTAATATATGCATTAGAAAGCCCTAAGACATAGTAATAGCAGCAGATCACTGAGAATTTATGACACTCTGCTTCTGAATTGATGTGATTATGAGACTCTAAGAAATGATTCAACGTTCTAAGTCTCTGGTCAAGGAGATAACTTATCTAATTGTTGATTCTGTTCTGACATGATTTCACATCTTCCCTTTGAAACCTATGCTGAGTTCCAGTTGCTATAGTTCCACCTGTAGCAGAGAAGGAGTATGCTCCCTAAAGGCACAGCTAATGACCAAACTGCATGTCCACATGCTCCCTGGGGTCTCCTGAATAATAAGGGCCTTGGTGCTTAAAATCCTCAGAAGAAATCTTGGTTCTTCCAAAAGAAGCATTGGAAAGCTGATGGCAATCCAATGATGACTTATTATCTTGCTTTCTTGTTGAAGTAGGAGATTCCCACAAGACATCTATATTCTCAAGAAAAATAGAATATGCCCTGTCCTTTGTAAGAAGGAGACATTAGCTCTTTCAATACAAATGGATCAAAGACTTGAGAATACACAGGGAGCCAAACAGGTCCCAAGTGATAGTGATTGGACTGCCTTGACCCCAAATACTGTATGGTGGCCCTTAGGATAGAAAGAAACATAAGGAGTTTATTTTAGGAGCAAATTGTTCAGAAAGAAATACAAAAAAATAGAATACACATGAGAGAGAAAATTGGGCCCTGCCTCATATCCCCCGCTCCAGAACCTAAATATAGTACACAACCAGCATATACTAAATGAGGCAGATCCCTAGATTTGTCTATCAGACAACCAACTTCTTGGAGTAGCCTGTGTTCTTAACCCTATGACCACCATAATAGCTTCTATTTCCTGAATCCTACATCTCCAGAGTATAACCAGCTGTTCCCTCGATAAACACTTTTCATGTTTATCCAATCGCATATACATTAATTTCTTTAAATACTGCTCTCTAGCCAGAATTTCTCTCCTGGGAAGATGCCATATCTTTTTCATCTTTGATGCCCCATTTCCTACTATATGCTTGAAATACTGTAGTAGTCCAGTGATTATTTCTTCTAAAGAGGATGTTGGTTCCAAACCCCCTCCTCAGCAGAATATACAGACTCAATGGCTGTGTTCCAACTATGTCTCTGCTTTTAACCTTCATAGAGTTTGCTTTTATCAAAATGTATGTTGCTGAAATGCTATTTGCTTGGGTATAGAAATAAACTAGAGAAAAGCTGATTGCTGAGTTTAGTGTATGATGATATTGAAGATGATTTTCATAGGAAGATCTAGGAGAAAAAACTTCCTTCTGAGCCAGGAACCAGTGGCTCATACCTGTAATCCTAGTGACTTAGAAGGCTGAGATCTGAGGGTTGAAGTTTGGAGCAGACTAGGCAGGAAAGTTCATGAGACTCTTATCTCCAATAAAAAAAAAAAGGAAGCCAGAAAAGGAGTTATAGCTCAAATGGTAGAGCACTAGCTTTGAGAAAAAGATGCTCAGGGACAGCACTCAGGCCCTCAGTCCAAGCCCCAGAACTGGCAAAAAAAAGTAAAAATAAGTTAAAACTTTCATCTGGTCTCAATAACAGAAAAAGTTGAGATATTTTTTTTTTTTGGTCGGTCGTGGGGCTTGAACTCTGGGCCTGGGCGCTGTCCCTCTGCTCTTCAGCTCAAGGCGAGCGCTCTACCACTTGAGCTACCGCACCACTTCCAGTTTTCTGGTGGTTTATTGGAGATAGGAGTCTCATGGTCTCTCCTGCCTGGGCTGGCTTTGAACCGCAATCCTCAGATCTCAGCCTCCTGAGTAGCTAGGATTACAGGCGTGAGCCACCAGCGCCCGGCAAAGTTGAGATATTTTTGAACAACTGGTCTGTGTTGAGTTTGTCTTACAGACAAACTCTCTTTAGAAAGAAAGCTCTAGCCAAATTTCTGGCTTTCTTCTAACAAATGTGTAAGACTTTGGTATTTTGTGTACTTATTTCCCATTATTTCCCCCTTATTTTGTCCCCTATTTCCCCCCCTATCTTACTTATCTGCATCTACTTCAGAGGAAATAGTTTATTCTGTTCCTCAGTAGCCATATTTATTTATTCACTAAATATGTCCACTGTGGGCATGATGCAACTTCTCAAATGTTGGATCAGATTAAACATAGCCACCATTATTTCCTCTTACATACTGATTTTTATACACTACATATGTATGTATATAATCAATTTTTCATTATATTTCTGTAGTTGTAATTTTAGACATGATTTTTATTTTATATTATAGTCTTAGATTTATAGAAAAGTTGCAAAGCCAATATAAAGACTTCCATTATGGCTTTCACCCAAATTCCATTGTTAATATTTTACATTATCATTATACATTTGTCACAACTATAATGCCAAAATTAGTACTTCTATTTTGTTGTGTTTGTTCAGACAAACAAATGATTCCAAAATGAAATAACCTTTGGCATGTATTTAACAGTGCTGTTCCTTTAACCATAGTCCCAATAAAAGCCAATAATTTGCTCAATAAAAGCCAAAAGTTTGAAAGATTTCTCAGTATCTCTTCTTATCAATCAGTTAAGAGTTTAAATGTGAATCCAGGCATTGATGGCTAATGCCTATAATCCTAGCTACTCGGGAGGCTGAGATCTGAGGATTACTTTTCAAAGCCAGCCCAGGAAGGAAAGTCCTGAGGCTCTTAGCTCCAATTAACCACCAGAAAACCAGAAGTGGCACTGTGGCTCAAGTGGTAGAGTGCTTGCCTTGAGCTGAAGAACTCAGCGACCGTGCCCAGGCCCAGAGTTCAAGTCCTGAGACAGATCAAAAACAAAAAAACCAGTTCAAATGTGGTTTATTTGGTTGTCCTACTTCGTTAGGTTTTGCCCAGTTTAGAATCACTACACCAGGCCTGGAAAGTTGGCTCAGTGGTAGAGCGCTTGCCTTGCATCCTGAGGCCCTGGGTTCGATGTCTCAGCACCACATAAGCAAAAAGACAAAAGCCGGAAGTGGCACTGTGGCTCAAGTGGTAGAGAGTTAGCCTTGAGCTGAAGAGCTGAGGGACAGCGCCCAGGCCCAGAGTTCAGGCCCCAGGACCGGACCCAAAAAACATTAAAAATATATATATATATAACTGAGCATGCCAGTGTCCTGGACTACTTGGTAATCATATCAAGAGATTCTGGAATGGACTATTTGATCTGCATGGATCTCAATATCATTGTTTCCAGGAATGAGACTAATCCACTAATCTCCTGGGGCTCAGCTTTTGTTTGGCAATGAACCATGAGAGGAGGTTGCCCCTGTATTTCCTTTCTCTACACAGTCTTATAAGCTGCTGTCTCTTTAACCACGGGTTGTCCAGAGAAACAAAATCTCTCCTCCCAGAGGATAACAATCCTCCCAACTGCACTTCTGAGACCTGAAGCCACAATGACATAGATGCCCCTAAAAGAAGGGGGCAAAAAACCAACTTTCTACCAGATACAGAACTGAGAGTGAAGATGCTGAAGATCTTTGTGGATCCATAATAACTTTTGCTAGTAAGGTAGGTGCATGTCCGAACATCAAAATGACTGTGACTGTAGCACAGCAGCAGTAAAGAGGCACACTGCAATGCCATAATTGGATCACTGCAAAACCTAAGCAAAGAAGACTGTCTCTCTTTGACAGTTGAACTGTTCTACTCTATAAAGACTGGTAGAAATGTAGAAAAATCAGAGATAGCTTTTCCTTTCATTGGACCTGGTGAGAACAAATGAGGACTAGAATGTCTGCTGCTTGCTAAGTGAACAGCCTCTGCTAAATTACTTCCTTTTAATGCCCCCCCATTGTCTTGTACATAAAATAATTGTATGTATGTGAAGTAAAATACCTTCCTTCAGGACTGCAGAGAAAATTTAACAAGATAACAAATAGATGTCATTAATGTGATAAGTCTTCAATTGCTCAATAATTTTTTTCCACTGATAATGTTTCTTTCAACACTCTGGAAGTTACTAAAGCCTTAGACATTACTTAGTTCAACTCTTACTTTCATAGGCATTTTATTTTATTTATTTTTATCTTTTTTGCCTGTCATGGGCTTGAACTCAGGGACCGGGCATTGTGTATGAGCTTCTTTGGCTCAACACTAGTGCTCTACCACTTGAGCTACAGCACCACTTCAGGTTTTTTTCTGTTTATGTGGTATTAAGGAATTGAACCTGGGGTTTCATGCATGTAGGCAAGCACTCTACCACTGAGCCATACTCGCAGCCCTTCAGAGGAATTTTCTAAAGGTATTTTATTTTGTTCGTGTGATTATATTCAAATTTCTACAATGATATTTCAGTTAAACCTGTCAACAACTCTTATATTTGAACCTAGAATCAGATTAACTTACCACAAAATCCCAAGTCAGGAAACAATTCTGCTCAATACAAAATGGCAGCCCCTCAATTTTGTAGTCTCCTTAAAGTCTCCTTGATGCTTTCTCTTTTTTTTTTAGCCACCAACATGTCTTTTTATGTCTTAAATTCATGTTTAACCATTGCAATGGTTAATTCTATATATTTATATAAGGTATTTATATACTTGTATTAATGAGACACATAATATAATTCCAAATTACATTATGTATTTGCCAGGCTTTATGTTTTAAAATTTGAGAAACTCAGGATTCGAAGTATTATATGGGTAAGTCTTATTTTGAAACATAAATTAATATGAAATTCATATTCTGTTGACTTTATTTCACAAATTTGTATATCATCCTTGAGCAGGGGCCATGCTAATCTTCTCTGTATCGTTCCAATTTTAGTATATGTGCTGCTGAAGTGAGCACTCTGTTGATTTTATTGAAAGGGTGAGGCCAACAAAATTCTCCTGGGCCCATCCTCTTGACAGAGTCCACTGACTTTTATCTCTATAAAGAAGAAAAGGTAAGCTCTCAATTTATATGTCATATTTTAAAGTGGTAATTAAAGCACTTTCTGCATTGGTAGCTGTGACAACAAAGTGTTGAGCACCATATACATATTACCACAATGTTCTCAAAACTGTCTTAACAAGCTATATTTTTATTAACCTCCCTTGTACAGGGTCTTATCAGGCTTATTAGCACTGAATCTATTCTGAAAACTCAAAAGCAAATCAAAGAGACAGAAAAGAAAACATGTTATTGACAAAATCATAAAATAGTTTAATTAAAAATCTTACTCTTTAAGATGATAGTATGGATTACTAATAATTACATGTGCTTATGTAATACCCACTTCACATTGCTCATGTATAGAGCACATAAAATGCTAAAGTATGTATTCATTTCCATTCTATTTACATACTGTAATTTTTTATTTGTTGATATATTTATGATTTATTATGTTAAATTTGTCCATGGAAATAAAAATGATTCATGAAAATCATCATCTTTTAACTTGGAGAAGACTGAGAAGAGATTTGCATTAGAAAATCTATCTGGTATCATTTCATGTTATTCTCCTTAGCATCAGGAAGCAAGAGAGCTCTAGATACCTCATGTCTTGGAAATCTTTCCAGTTTATTATTAAACCAAACCAAGAAAGATTAAAGTGATGGAAGTGGTGCCCACAATGCTTCAAAGTAGCAGGTGGCAGGCATACTGGTGTGACATTAGAACAGGCAGAAGTAAATATCAATGGCTCCAATCCAATAGCTTTTGTATTATTTTTAGTATGTCAAACAGCCAAAGTCTTCCAGCATAAATCGCACTTGATTTTTTTCATGCTCAGTATTTATTGGGTCATAGCCATGTCCTCAGTCCCCAGTATCATAAAAAGCTCACAACTAGCCAGTGAATATAGTTTTGTCACTGATGAATGAAAATGAAAACCTGAAAGGTTCATCAGCTTGGAAAAAGTCATTCAGAGAAATAACTGTGAATTTGAGTGTATGTATGTGCATAGTATGTCAATGTATCACATATGCATGTGTGTACATGTATGTTGTGTGTGTGTTTTCTGTGTGTTGTGTGTGTGTTAGGAGAATGAGGGTCTCACTTTGGGCAGATAGTGAGTCATTAGTACAGCCGACTCTTATTTTTTTATTCCTTTCTTCTTGTGATACCTCTGCCACATTTCCTAAAAATTACTGAAGTATGTCTCATTTATTTTTTATATATATTATAATTATTAACACATATTGTAATATTTCCATACATGATCTTGCTTACTGCCTCGACACAACAGAGAGCTTAACATCAACCACATTGCCAGATATAGCTCTCTGGGTCTAAATTATTATATTTGTACCAAATAGACATATCTACATGAAGCTGGGCAGCCAAAAGGTTGATAACAACAACGAGACAAAAGCATTTCCTGCACTATTTGTTCTTTGTTGAGTTGTCACTAATGCTGCAGATCCAGGTTCCCTTTGCACCTGCAGATTTTTCCATTCTATGCAAATCAACTGAGTAGAACTGAAGGGCAAAAAGTGACGGTGTTCAAACCTTCAGTGGAGATGTGAGTCAGTGGGAGCATAGTAACCTAGCCAGTGTGAGACCTTGAGTTCAAACCCTGGTACCACTGAATGAAAAACAAGGAGGAAAGGAAGGAAAGAAGGGAGGAAGGAAGGAAGCAAGGGAGGGGAAAAGGAAAGAAGGAAGAAAGGAAGGAAAGAAAGAAGGGAGGGAAGGAGAGTAGGAGGAAAACTTTATTGAAGAAAGTAGCATAAAGGATTCAATAGCAAGAAGATTGATGAACCAAGCTCTGAAGTCAGCCTCTAACGTTTCAGACCTTGCCACCACAAAATGAATGACCTTGGGCAAGTCCTTCAGTCTGAATGAGCCTGTTTCTTCATCTGCAAAATTGAAATAAAAGAAGTTTCAGCCTCATAAATTTGGCATCAGTGTTGAATAACATCAGGTACATAAACGACCTGGCCTAGACCAAGAACTTCATGAACATTGGCTTTTCTTATTGAGTCATGTTTATACTATTAATTTGATATACTGTTTCTGCTTATACATTCTGGGTGTGTTCCAGAGACAAAGAACCTATGTAAAAACAATAATTAATAATACAAGCTGGATAAGTCTCACATGAGTAGTATGATCCAAGTTAAGGAAATTCAAAGGAAAGGGGGATTATGGAATTAGGTGGAAAAAAGTTAGATTATAGATGGAGTTCAGAAAGGGTGAGTGGCTTTACTAATGTCACAAAGCTAATCTTGAAAGAGTTGGGATTAAAGTCCAGATCTCCTAATTAATATTGGAAGACTGTCTCAGAAAACTGCCCCACAATAGCACTAATGAAAATAATCTTAAAAATATAAGAAGTTCACAAATGAACTCTTTTTTACAAGCCAGGCATGTTACACATATTTTCTTATTAAGCCTTTGTAATAACACTGGGAGTTAGGTCTTATATTTTCCCATTTTATAGATGAGATCATTCATTAAGGAGTAACGTCTTATAGCCAGAACATACCTGAGCCAGGTTATTGAAGGTTTCTAACCAATTATATTGGAGGCTTGAAGAGAAGAGGAAGGCAGGGCAACCAGAATCAAGGGAAATGGCAAGCCACATCTCAGTGGTAAACATGAATATGAATATTCCCTTTTTATTATCTTTAAGTAGGCATACAAGAGGATTTCAATTCAGTATGGCAGTTCATGAGTACAATGCATCTTGATCAATGCCATTCCTTTCATCATTTTTCCCCATCTCTCCCAACCCCATTCACCCCCTCAAGTTACCTGATTTCATGGATATTCATGAAAAGTAAATGGACTACTTTTACTGAAAGAAGATATTCACCCAGAAGAAGTAGCAGATGGAATAAATACAAGAATAAAATAGACAATTGGAAGGAGCCTTGAATGCCAATCCAGGCAACACTGCTGGAGAGAAAGTAGAGACAGAAGACTTGAACTTGACAATTCTATAGTAATAATGAGTGTGTGTGTGTATGTGTGTGTGTGTGTGTGTGTGTGTGTGTGTGTGCTGGTCCTGGGGTCCTTGAGCCACAGTTCCACTTCCAACTTTTTTGGACTCTCACAGACTTTCTTGCCTAGGCTGGCTTTGAACCACAATCTCAGTCTCCTGAGTAGCTAGGATTAAAGGCTTAAGGCACTGGCACCCAGAATTATAGTGATTTATGAATTCATTCTGGTCATAGACAAAAAGAAGAGGAACAGTCCATGGCAAGGAAACCCATCAATGGCTGAGAGCAACAACTCCAAAGGAAGGAGTTGAAGGTAGAAGTTTTACAACTTGCTAGGTAGTACCACAAGACAACTTCCAAATCTTTTCTGATACCCTCTACCCATCTTTCCCCACAGACCGTGGTACTTCTCCACCAGCAAAGTCCTGTGGAATCATGAAGATTTTTTTTCACTACCAGATATTTAGATTCAGCTGGTTCATCAAGCCAGCTGGCAGACATTTCCACAGAAACCATCAACTTGGGGCACATCTTGCTCTTGCTGACTTGGAAGCCATCAATCGTTGTGAAATGTCACTGCCTAAGAACTTTAACTTTGCTGGGGATGTGATAGACCAGTGGTCACAAAAAGAGAAGGTATATGATGGTTGGACTTCACTGTATGCTTCCCCTATCTCTGTCTTTTTTCTCCTTGCTTTGTGGTCAACTTTTCTATTTAATTCATTTTTTTTACTTGCCTTAACTTGTTGTTTTTTGCTTTTGTTTTGATTTGTTTTTGGTGCCAGTATTGGGGCTTGAATTCTCAGCCTGGGTGTTGTCCCTGAGCTTTTGTGTTCCAGGATAATGCTCTACCACTCGAGCTATAGCTCCACTTCTGGCTTTTTTTGTTTTGTTTTGTTTTTTCGGTGCTTAATTGGAGATAAGAATTTCACAAACTTTCCTGCCTGGGCTGCCTTCAAACTGTGATCCTCAGATCTCAGCCTCCTGACTAGCTAGGATTACAAGTGTAAGCCAATGGTGTCCAGCCTGCCTTAGCTTTTGTTGTTTTCTACTTTGCTTCTTCTTTCCTCAGTGATCATAGATACTCAACTACTTACAGCTTTCTCTGGAACCTCCTTAGTTCCTTCACTCCTTCCCTTCTTCCTCCACTATGATGAATCAAAAGACTTAGGGTTTTTTCTTTCTTTTTCCCCAAGTCCCATAAAACATCTCTTTGGGTTTAAGATGGTCACAGGCTTATCCAAAAAGGTAGTAATTTCAGGGCTGGGAAGGTGGCTCAGTGGTAGAGCGCTTGCCTTGCATGCCTGAGGCCCTGGGTTCGATTCCTCAGCACCACATAAGCAAAAAGAAAAAAGCCGGAAGTGGCGCTGTAGCTCAAGTGGTAGAGCGCTAGCCTTGAGCTGAAGAGCTGAGGGACAGCACCCAGGCCCAGAGTTCAGGCCCCATGACTGGACCCAAAAAACAACAACAACAAAAAAAAAAAAGGTAGTAATTTCAGCTTTAGTTTTATCAGTATAGTAATCATTGGAATAATTGGAGAAGAATCAGAGAGCGACAAGAATCAAGCAAGCATGCCTTCCAGAATCTTGGAGTAGGAAAAGGGCCTTCTTTACTGTTCCCCCACACTATGCCAGCACTGAGCTAAGCACTTTACCTTTCAGTGCTTATCAAAATGCACTGTGGGACTTGTGGTTCAGAAGTAGATGTTAGGCCCTCAATACACAAGATATTCAAGAACACTAAAATAGTCCTCCTATTAATTACATGAGGAAAAATGTCCTTGAAAATCAGCATCATTCATACCTTACATTGCTGAAGTCTCTTCTGAACAGAGAGAGCAGATAGGAGTTAATCAATTGCAAGCCAGGAATGGTAGTGTACATGTACAATCCCAGCACTCAGGAGGCAGAGGCTAACTTATGTTACAAAGTAAGATCCTGCCTCAAAAAATAAAAAATTTACCAGGCACCAGTGGTTTGTGCCTATAATTTTAGCTATACAGGAGACTAAGATCTAAGGATCGGAGTTCCAAGATATCTTAGGCAGACAAATCCAGATTCTTTTATCTTAAAATAACAATAATAAAAAACTGGAAGAGGAAGTGTGGCTCAAGTGGTAGAGCAGCAGACTTCAGCAAAAAAAAAAAAAAAAAATGAAGACTGTGAAGCCCTTTGAGGCCCTAAATTCAAGCCCCAGTACTGACACACAAACACAAACACACAAAAATGTTGTTAATCTTTACGTAAAATTTATGGTGATACTTTTACTTTCACTGAAATATTTCTGCAGCCTTTTTTAAACAAGACTGCTGATTTTCCAATTATAGTGCTAATTAAATGCATTTCCCTTCTCAAGTAGACATATACAAATGAGTTGAATTAAAGACAAATAACAAGCACAATAGTACAGATGCAGACAGATCTGGCAGAAACACTGATCAAATGATTGAGAAATACTAACCTATAATATTTCATCAAATCCCCGTAACTACGCCAAGGAGGGGATAATTTCATGAGGGGATAACAAGTTATCCCCTCACAGAAGTTAAGCTGCTTATCCAAGATCACACAGCTCCAAAAGAACATGAACCAAGTCCCTGATCTTACTGGTCTACACCCATATTAGGACATATCTGTAATATGATACCATTCAGGGGCAATGGAGTTGCCTGATATGGAACATGGACAAAATCATGAGGAAAAGAAGGAGGCCTAAGAAAGCTCACAGATGTACTGAAACGTAAATTGTGCTTTGAAGTATTTTTCAAGCAGGATGGTATTCCAGACTGGGGGGAATGGGAAGAAGAGGAAGGAATGATATGTTCCCATGAAATGCAACAAGCACAGAGGTTTTTCCAATACTTGTGACTCACTCTATTGTATGATCCTTGAGAAGCTTCCTCCAGGAATCAATTAAATGATACCCATCTCTATCCTATCCCTGCCTGTAAAACCTACACCTCAAACTTCAGGTACTAAAACATGTCATGTTCCTGATCAAACTTGGTATTCCCCTTAAGGTTATTTGGGTGAACAGAATCTAACTTAAGCAAGAAAGGAATTTATTAGAAAAATATGTGAGAGCTCCCCAAATTGGGGTGGAAAACTACAGGGAGTTTGGGAAGTTCATAAATATTAACTATTTTACTGCAATTGCTTGATACCTTTTGGTTCTTGGAAAACTCAAAGTCCAAGGATAAAGGATTTGATTAGCCCAACTTTGGTTACATGCCCACCTAAGCTGCTAGATGAATTGTCTCAGCAAGGCTATGTTTAATAGGTAAGGAATAGTTTCCCCAAAGACAAACTAGACTGCACAGGAACAGGTGTTAAGGAGGAGAAATGGCAGGTGTTTTATCTATGTGATAACCAGACATATAGGCCTTCTGTATTAGTTGGCTGTCCATCACTGGGATAGAATAGCTGAGATAAACAACCTAAAAGAAAGAGTTCTTTATTTTGGCTCACAGTTTTAGAGGTTTTAGTCATTGGCTGCTTGACCCAGCCGCTTTGGGCCTGTAACAGCATAGTACCTTGTGGGAGGAATGTATGGGGGAGAAGGCCAGATCACTTCAGGGTAGCTGGGAAGCAAAGTGAGCAAGAAAAAGGAAGAGTCTAGGATCCCACATCCCCTGCAAGAGCATGACTCCCAACAACTTAACTCCCTCCCTCTAGGCCCCAGCTTGGACTCTAGTGCCACAGATTATTAGGAGGTGGTAGAATCAAGCTTTTAATAAGTGGGCTTTTCGATGACACTTCCAAACCATAGCAACTTTTTTTTCTCTTCTCCATATGTCATCGGGCCAGACTGGGGAGAGACCAGCCAACCCAGCCCTGTGGTGGGTGAATGGCCAAGGAGACGAGGTGAAATGGAGCTTCAGAGACCTTAGTACCTTATCCCGAAAGGCTGCCAATGTGCTCACCAAGCCTTGCAACCTGCAGAGAGGAGACCGAGTGGCTGTGATTCTACCCAGAATCCCAGAATGGTGGCTTATCAATGTGGCTTGCATGCGGACAGGTCAGTGCCAACCCCCAGTTGTGAGACTCTTATCTCCAATTAACCCCCAGAAAACTGGAAGTGAGCTGTGGCTCAAAGTGGTAGAACACTAGCCTTGAGCAAAAAAACAAAAACACAAAACAAAAAAAACCCCTTGGGGCCAGTGCCCAGGCCCTGAGTTCAAGCCCCATGACCAACACCTCCTACCCCTCCCAAAAAATGCAGAAAGAAAGAAAGAAAATACATAAAGAAGAGATATTTTAGAATTCCTTGATTTGTGAGAATATGAACAAATGTAGACCTCAGCTTAAAAAACTCCATTCCTGGGGCTGGGAAGGTGGCTCAGTGGTAGAGCGCTTGCCTTGCATGCCTGAGGCCCTGGGTTCGATTCCTCAGCACCACATAAGCAAAAAGAAAAAAGCTGGAAGTGGCGCTGTGGCTCAAGTAGTAGAGTGCTAGCCTTGAGCTGAAGAGCTGAGGGACAGCGCCCAGGCCCAGAGTTCAGGCCCCATGACCGGACCCAAAAAAAAAAAAACTCCATTCCTTTCCACAAAAAGATTAACATATTCAATTATACACTTCATCCCAAAGTAGCAATATAATGTATCCCAAGTAAATTTTTTTCCTTTACAGCAGAATCAGCAAACCAGGTCCTATAAACCAATAATCTGTTTTTATAAAGTTTTGATATGGCCATGATCATTCATTTACATATTGTCCTTGATCATTAATTATATTTATCAAAATATTAATTATATTTATCAAATTTATCGTGAGACAATAAAATCATACTATTAACCTAATAAGAATTTCAAAAAAAGAATTTCATAATAGTACTGAAAATTGATTTGCTACTAATATGATAAATCAAAAGGCGTTATTTAAATTTTTTGCATTACTACAACAGCGAACTTAAAATGTGAAATCCATTGTAAGTTGGGAGTAAATTAGGGTAGTTTGTCATAAAAATACATCTCTAATAGTACTTAAATGAACTTATACATATTATGAAAACCAAACACAAGGTGATACTCAAAACACTCAATTAAGCTGGAAGCCAATAGCTCTTAGCTGTAATCCTAGCTTCTCAAGTATGAGATCTGAGACTTGTGGTCCAAAGCCAGCTGGGCAGAAAAACCTGCAAGACTTTATCTCTAATTAATCAGCAAAAAAGCCAGGTTGGAGGTATAGCTGAAGTGATAGAGTATCAGCTGTGAGAAAGAAAACCTGAGCAAGAACTTGAGGCCCTAAGTTCAAACCTTGGTACCATCAAAAACTCAAATGTATCCAGGTGCTAGTGGCTCACATCTGTAATCCTAGCTACTCAGGAGGCTGAGATCTGAGGATCTCAATTCAAAGCCAGAGTAGGCAGGAAAGTTTGTGAGATTCTATGTCTCGTAAACTACTGAAAAATAAGCTGGAACTGGAGACATGGCTCAAGGGGTAGAAGAGCACTAGCTTGCATCAAAAAGAAGCTCAAAGACAGTGCCCAGACCCTGAGTTCAAACTCCAGGACCAGCACAAACAACACACGCACACATCTCAAATGTAAAGCATGCAGCTGAAAATACTGTCTTCTAGCTTGTAATTATTAAATCTTTTTTATTAATATTGAGATGACTTGTACTATATAGCATATGGGCAAAAACATTAATATAACTGTGAGGTGTAGGCAACAAAGCCTAAAATATTTGCTATCTGAAATCCACTAGACATAGTCTCCCAGTCCCCAAGCTGGAGATCTTCCATTGACCACAACCACATCACAAATCCACCCAGGAGATTAATTATTTATTAGTCATTAAGAAAAAGTGGTGGTGCTGGGAAGGTGGCTCAGTGGTAGAGCGCTTGCCACGTATGCATGAGGCCCTGGGTTCGATTCCTCAGTACCACATAAGCAGAAAAAGCCGGAAGTGGAGCTGTGGCTCAAGTGGTAGAGTGCTAGCCTTAAGCTGAAGAGCTGAGGGACAGCGCCCAGGCCCAGAGCTCAAACCCCATGACCAACCAAAAAAAAAAACAAAAAAGAAAAAGTGGTGGGACTGAGGATGTGATTCAAGTGGTAGAGTATTTGCCTAGAAAGTGCAAAGTCTTGGATTTAAGTCCTGGTACTGATTTGTAAGATGTAAGTGATTTTTAAGATACATAATATTATATATATATATATATATATATATATATATATATATTCTTTTTCTTTTTTTGGTCATAGGGCTTGAACTTTGAGCCTGGGCACTGTCCCTGAGTTCTTCAGCTCAAGGAGAGCACTCTACCACTTGAGCCACAGAGCTACTTCCAGTTTTCTAGAAATAAAAAGTCTCATGACCTTTCCTGCCCGGGTTGGCTTTGAACCACAATCCTCAGATCAGCCTCCTGAGTAGCTAGAATTACAATATTTTATATTTATACTTGAGTAAACATTGCATAATCTTTTTTAATGTTTAAGTTTTGTATTTCCTGAGTCATGAGTCAAGTCAGAAACAATAAATAAGCATTTTATGAACTGAAAAAAATGCCAATCTTATTTTTGTCTTCTTTTACGTGTGTACTGTCACTGAAGCTTGAACTCAGGGCCTGAACACAGTCCCTTACTTTTTTTTTAATATTTAAGTCATTGTACGAAAGAGTTTTGATCAAACATGTCCATTTGTGAGTACATGTCAGAGTTTGAGGGGATTATTTGTTTTTGTGTCAATACTGAGTCTTGAATTCAGGTCCCTATACTCTAACTTAGCATTTTCGCTAAAGGCTGATGCTCTTCCACTTGAGCCAGACCTTGACTTCTGGCTTTTAACCGGTTAATTGGAAATAAGAGCCTCTTGTATTTATCTGCCTGGACTGGCTTGGAACTGTGATCCTCAGATTTCACCCTCCTGAGTAAGTAGAATTGCAAACATGAGACACTGGCACCTTCTTCTAAGATGTTTTCTTAATCAATTTTCCTATCTTCACATATTTATTAACCAAGAGGGAATACTATCTAAAAATTTTAAAAATATATATTCATTAACAGTCCCCTTCCTAGAAATGTAACTACACATCTTCCTATTTAGCTAACTTCAGGAAACCTACCATGAAATAAGTAAGTATACAGCCCAGGAAAATATGTCTTTGAATTCTGGCTCTTGCCACCTTACTGACTTTACAACCCTTGGGTGAGGGCTGGGGGTGATGCTTAGTGTGCATGAAGCTCTGGGTTCGATTCCTCAGGACCACATACACAGAAAAGGACAGAAGTGGAGCTGTGGCTCAAATGATAGCGTGCTTGACCTGAATTGCTGAGGAACAGTTCCCAGGCCCTGAGTTCAAGCCTCAGGACTGGCAAAAAAAGAAAAAAGAAATGTACAATCCTTGGATGAGTTGTTACTAGTTTATAGTAAAATACCATGCATTCAGTGAGTGTTCAGTACAAGGTAGTAGTTACCTGTAATGCCATTGCTTCTCATTGATTTACTTCAAAAGTACAAACTTCTTTTCTGTCTAATATCTAACTCTGCCATTTATCATCTCCTTGGAACTGGTACATTGACACCAGGGCTATCTACAGCCAGTTTAAAAAGAAGTGAGAAAGGAAGATACATTAAATATAGTCATATACTTTAGGCATTTTTCTGTGTTGTTAAACCTCTGGGATCTAAAGATCTGAGAGCTGGTTCTACCACTTATCAGGTATGCCAAATCTCATGTTCTACCAAAGAACAATTGCATGGACTTGTTAGGACTGCTTAGAACAGTAGTCTTCTGAGCATATCAGAGTGCAAAATTTGCCAGTAAAACTTCTGGACACATCTTCCAATATTATTCTGCTGTACTGATATAGTATTATAAAACATACAAAAAGCTAACAACATTTTTAAAAATCCTGTTATCAATAATTTCTTGATGTTCTCTTGTTTTATTTTTAATTTTCAATGGATTTTCTTGCAAAACTCACTTTGGAGCCTACTGGTTGAGAGAACTGAATGAAATGGTATTTGTGAGGATGTGTCACAAGGTGCAAAGTGCTATTTAAGTGTTGCTTAATAATTATTCAAATATTACATTAACATGCTACATATTAATACTCAACCACTATAATGTCCCCTGTATGCCAGAAGCCACAATTTTACCCATTTTATAGATGAAGTAAGAAAGGCACAGAGAAATAAAGGTGAAAAAGATACTAAGGCTAAGATTAAACCCAGGTCTGTCAGACTCCAAAGCCAGTAATCTAAAAGTTTCCTAGTGATCAGGGTCCTGTGGAATGTCCCTGAAGACCAAGCAGGATTAGATGATGGCTACATTCTGAGCTTTCTCCTCACCCAGGTCCAAAGCCCAAGTTTCCCATAATCCACAGACATATACTATGGACAGCAGTACTGTTCAGCTCAGAGATCTCTATCCTTCACAGGGCTTGTCTTCATGCCAGGAACAACCCAGCTGACAGCAAAAGACATCCTCTACCGACTGAAAGTATCCAAGGCCAAGTGCATTGTGGCCAGTGAAGAGATGGCCCAAGCAGTGGAGTCCATTGCATCAGAGTGCCCTAACCTGAAGACTAAACTCCTGGTGTCTCCACAAAGCCACCATGGATGGCTCAACTTCCAGGACCTATTTCAGTGAGTATTTTCCCCAGCCTCTGTAGGACCAGCAACAGTACAAATCACAGCTACATCTCAGAGTCTATTTGCCCAAAGACTCAGCAACACTATGAGTTGATCTGGACTCCTTCCCCAAGAAGAGAATTGCCTGATAAAATGATTTATAGGCAGAAAGAAGGGATATATCTCAGTGCCAGTTTTTCTGCTTCCTCCTGTGGCCTGTGATAACTATCTGATCGTGGTTTAACTCCTGAACCACATCTACCATGCTCTATTCCTCAAATATGCCCTTTGCACCATCTGTTTCTTAGGCCTGGAATACTCTTCCCTACTCCTTTTCATGGTTGTTTCTTGATGTCAGATTAGAAGTGTCAGGAACTAAGTTTGAGTCCCAGTGAAAGGAAGAATGAAATAAAGAAAAAAAGGAAGGAAGGAAGGAAGGAGAGAGAGAAAGAAAGGGGGAAGGAGGGAGGGAATGAGGGAGAGAGAAAGAGAGATAGAGAAAGAAAGAAAAAAAAGAAAGAAAGAAGGGGCTGGAAAGGTGGCTCAGTGGTAGAGCCTTGCCTTGCATGCATGAGGTCCTGGGTTCGATTCCCCAGCACCACATAAGCAAAAAGAAAAAAGAAAAAGAAAGGAAGGAAGGAAGAAGGAAAGAAAGAAAGAAAGAAAGGGAGAGAAAAAGGAAAGGAAATGAAAGATTTTAGTTCAAATGCTGTATCCTGAAGGTTTTCCTGAATAACATAACCAGAGTAGAATTACAAGGCCTTCTATCACATCACACTCTTGTTTTCTTCACAGCATTCTCATTACCTAAATGATCAAGTCCAATTGTTTGCTCCCTTAGATTTTGTTTTTCCCTCTAGAGTAGGGATCCATAAATTAGGGCCTAGAGGCTAAATCTGGCCTAATACTTGTTTTTGTAAATAAAGCTTTATTTGACCACAGCTGTGCATATATATATATATATGCATATATATTTATACGTAATTCATATATATAAAATACACACACACATATATATATGTGTGTGAACATAAATATATACATATATATATATATATACACAATGTTCAAGATTGCTTTTGTTATAACAGCAGAGTTGAGTACTTGCAGCGGAGACATCTAGGGTTCATAAATCCTAAATATTTGGTGATGCTTAATAAAAAATATTTACCAACTCCTGCCCTAAACTATATGCTCTAAAAAAAATAAAGGCTTTGTCTGTTTTGTTGATCACTTTATCCCCAGGAACTAACTACACATCCCTGAGTGCTTAGGAAAAAATTATTAAATAAATCAATTATTTATTCACTTATGAATAAACAAAGACGTTAGCTTCAGTTTTCTTCCTGTGTAAAATGAGGTTATTATGCTACACACATCTAGTTTAGTTTAAAAGATAAAATAAGCTGATACTTGGAAAAAGTGCTTCCTAAGCTGTAAAAAAAAAAAAAAAAATAGAGGCCAGGCACTGGTAGCTCACATTTGTAATTCTAGCTATTCAGGAGGCTGAGATCTGAGGATAGAGGTTCAAAGACAGCATGGGCAGGAAAGTCTGTGAAACTCTTATGTCCAATTAACCACCAGAAAACTGGAAGTGGCTCGGTGGCTCAAAGTAATAGAGCACTAGCCTTGAGCAAAAAAAGCTTAGGGACAGTATCTCAGGCCCTGAGAGTTCAAGCCCCACACCACCAACAACAACAAAAAAGAAAAAGATTGATAGTGTTATGCTTCAAGGAGATGTCAAATAGGTTTTTCTTTCCTTTCTTTTTATTACTTTTTAAACTCAGGGCCTGGGCACTGTCTCTGAGCTTTTGTTCTTGAGGATAGCTCTCTACCACTTGAGCCAAAGCTCCACTTCGAGTTTTCTGGTGATTAATTGGCGATTAATCAGAGATGAGAGTCTCATGGACATTTCTGCCTGGGCTGGCTTCAAACCATGATTCTCATAATTCAGGCTCTCTAGCAGCTAGGATTACAGGCATGAGCTACCAGCACCTGGTTACTTTTTTTAAAAAAATCCTCCTTGTGTCTTTTATAAACCTTAATTAAGTCAAATAACACTTCTATATTGTGTGTAACTCCTCTATAAAATAAAGGTAACTGGGGGCTGGGAAGGTGGCTCAGTGGTAGAGCGCTTGCCTTGCATGCTTGAGGTCCTGGGTTCGATTCCTCAGCACCACATAAGCAAAAAGAACAAAAGCCAAAAGTGGCGCTGTGGCTCAAGTGGTAGAGTGCTAGCCTTGAGCTGAAGAGCTGAGGGACAGCGCCCAGGCCAAGAGTTCAGGCCCCAAGACCAGACCCAAAAAAGAAATAAATAAATAAAGGTAACTGGGAAGATGGCTCAGTGGTATAGTGCTTACCTTGCACGCATGAGGCCCTGGGTTCAATTCCTCAGTATCACATAAGCAGAAAAAGCTGGAAGTGGCACTGTGGCTCAAGTGATACAGCATTAGCTTGAGCTGAAGAGCTGAGGGGCAGTGCCCAGGCCCAGAGTTCAGAGTCAGCTGACAAAAACAAAAAAATAAAGGTAACAGTAGTATCTAGTGCATGAAGCTGTAGCAGAATCAAATATGATAGACCATGACAAATGCTCCACATGATCCTTAACAAAAAGTTATCACTTGGGTGTAGAAGGTTTACATCTGTAAAACTCTCAAGAAGCTGAGATTTGAGGATTATAGTTTGAAAACAGTCTGGGAGGAAAAGTCTGTGAGATTCTTATCTCTGCTTACCAGCAAAAAGTCAGAAGTGGATGTATGTGCTCAAGCAGTAGAGCACTTGAATGAAAAAGCTAAGCAAGAGCACTTGAGTGAGCAAGGTAAGCAAGCACTGAGTTCAAGCCCCAGTACCAGCACACAAAAAATTACTCCATAATTACTAAGTACTAAATTGTAACTACTATTATTATTAGCAAGTGATCCAACACTGAAATGATTCCTAAGGTAGTGGCTTCCAGTTTATTATAATATGCACAAATGTCAATGAAATATGTTAACACATTCCCTTAACACATTTATTTACTTTAAAATGATATACCTGTGCTTTTACATATTATACAAATGCTCAAAAATATTAAAGGGTGAGTTTTTTCAAGTACATATAAGTTGAAGTTTTCTGTTTTTTCCTTATCCCAGCTATTTTAGTCATTCTGTGAACAGCAAACACCCTAATTTAAGCAACTCCTACCCAAAATAATGCTGCAATGTTCGATTGAGTCTCTAAGACATTTTAAAAGTGTCCCAAAAGGAAAAGGGCTCTACAATTACATGAATTTCAATTGAAATCTGTATCTTTGGAGTGGTTCTCTTTTTTTGGGGGGGGGGTCCAGTCGTGGGGCCTGAACTCTGGGCCTGGGCGCTGTCCCTCAGCTCTTCAGCTCAAGGCGAGCGCTCTACCACTTGAGCCACAGCACCACTTCCAGCTTTTTTCTTTTTGCTTATGTGGTGCTGAGGAATTGAACCCAGAGCCTCAGGCATGCAAAGCGAGCTCTCTACCACTGAGCCACCTTCCCAGCCCCTTTGGAGTAGTTTTCAAGATGGAGAAAATCTTCCTTTAAAGAACTTTAGAATGACATAATTTCAAAGCAGCCATGGATCATATCTCATTGCTAAAAGCTTTTTCATTTTCTTTGTTTATTTGTGCTGGCCTTAGGGCTAGAACTCAGTTCTAAGGTGCTATGTGCTAAGGTGCTATCCCTGAGACTTTTTGCTCTAGGCTAGCACTCTTGAGCCACAGCTCTACTTCTAACTTTTACTTTGGGGGCTAAATGGAGCTGAGAATCTCATAAACTTTCCTTCCCTGGCTGGCTTTAAACCACAAATCTCAGCTGCCTGAATAACTAATATCACAGGAGTAGGCCACTGGCACCTAGCTTAATGCTGTTTTTTTATTATTATTCACAGATTAAAACATACTTAGGAAAAAAATTAAAGAAATTAAATGCATATCCTTTTGTAAAATTAATATTGAAAGTTACCTTGGCTACCTATTTGGTCTATAGGAAGATAAGCTTAAAAAATACTTAAGCTATGGTCTGGGAAGGTGGCTCAGTGGTAGAGCACTTGCCTTGCATGCCTGAGGCCCTGGGTTCGATTCCTCAGCACCACATAAGCAAAAAGAAAAAAGCCAGAGGTGGTGCTGTGGCTCAAGTGGTAGAGCGCTAGCCTTGAGCTGAAGAGCTGAGGGACAGCGCCCAGGCCCAGAGTTCAGGCCCCACGACCAGATCAAAAAAAAAAAACTTAAGCTACTAAACTTGGCACTAATTTTCAAAGTTCCTTCTAAGATATCTTAAAAATCGGTGGCTCACACCTGTAATCCTAGCTATCCAGGAGGCTGCGATCTGAGGATTACTTGGGACAACGCCTAGGCCCTGAGTTCAAACACACACACACACACACACACACACACACACACACATACACACAAATAAAAACTTTCAGGAAAACTTGGGACTTTTTTTTGCTGGGGTAGGGGTGGGGATTCTGGTACTGGGGCTTGAACTCACAGCCTCACATGCTCACTTGGCTTTTTCACTCAAGACTGGTGGTCTCCACCACTTAAGCCTCTACTTCCAACATTTTGCTGGTTAATTGGAGATAATCAGATTGCCATAGACTTTTCTGCCCTGTTTGGCTTCAAACCACCATCCTCAGATCTTAGCCTCCTGAGTAGGAGAATACAGAATACAGGCATGAGCCACTAGCACCTGGCAAAACTTCGAACTAGGTTCAGTTCTATTAACTATCTTGTGGTTACAAAAGGGTTAAAGTAGCAGAAGAAAAGCAATAGCAAAGTCAAACTGATACCGGCATTTTCAGCCACCATTTTGGGGTCCATATTTTGCAGATCTGCTTCTGAAGAGCACAGCTGTGTGGAGACAGGAAGTCAAGAACCAATGGCCATTTATTTCACCAGTGGAACCACGGGCTCCCCTAAGATGGCTCAGCACTCACAGAGTAGCCTTGGTATTGGGTATGCCCTTTGCGGAAGGTAGGGAGAAAATGTTTGTTTTTAATAAACTTTCTCTTAAGCTAATCCTGCCTACCTGATACCTTTCCTTGAGTGGATATACCATCTATAAAACAGAACCCTTTAGGTCTTTGCTCCACCCTGGCTCAGTAAATATAGTGCCATCTATGCACTAGAACAAGCAAAAACTTATCATTCAACTTTGGTTCAATCCCATAATAGCATGTCTGACATTCTCTTCTCATTACAGAAAAAATAAAAGTCTATCCAGAGGGACTTCCTAAAAGAAAGGCTATCTAAAACTCGGACATTGCTCTGTTTTATTTTCCTCATATCACTTTGTTTATCAGTTCTTGAAATTATAATATTTTTAATATACTTAATTTACCTTATTGCATACTATTCCCTCCTGTCCCTCTACACTAAGAGATTTAGTCTATCTTGCTCACCGGAAGATATATGCCTAGTATATCCTAAATTGCTCAATAAAGACCTGTTTCTTCAATGGACAAACTGACAAAATTATGCCAAATTCAGTCTCGCATTCCACTCCCAAAACACATAGGATTCTAAAAACTCTAAGACAAGTGAGAAATAGAATCATACACATTTCTTTTTATCTTTGTATATATCAGTATATTTATATACATATATAACTATAATATATAATTAAACATTACATATACATATGCAATTATAATATAAATTACAATATAAATGTGTAAATATATTATCTATAAAAAAGTGTATAATGTCTTATATGTTATAGCATATCTTATCTATATTATAAATACCTAATATCACCAGGTGCTGATGGCTCACACCTGTAATCCTAGCTACTCAGGAGGCTGAGATCTGAGGATCCAGGTTCAAAGCCAGTCTGGGCAGAAAGTCTGTGAAACTCCTATCTCCAATTAACCACCAGAAAACCAGACGTGGAGCTGTGGTAGAGCACTATCCTTGAGTAGGAAAAGCTCAGGGACAGTACCTAGGTGCTGAGTTCCCACTCCACAACTGACCAAAAACAAAACAAAAAAATCCAAAACCATAATATATAATATATTGTGTATAATTACAGATAAATAGATAATATTGTGTGCCATAATACAAATACGTAGAATATACAAACATACATATATTACTACTATATATTATAATGCTCTATATTATATTGTAATACAATATAGTATGTTTAAATCTATAATAAACAGAAGACATACTCATAATTTATTTTTGCTGTTTTGCTGCCTCTGTGTATCACTTAGGTACTGGTTAGACTTGAAGTCCTCAGATATCATGTGGAATATGTCTGATACAGGCTGGATCAAAGCTGCCATTGGTAGTGTATTTTCTTCCTGGCTTCGGGGTGCCTGTGTTTTTGTGCACCAGATGGTCCAGTTTGACACTAACACCTTCCTAGATGTACGTATTTACCTCTATTTACATAATCTCTAGAAGACCTCCTTTCTCTCACAAAAACCACATGGAAATGATGCTTCAGAATAGCCTCTAGAGATCTGGTTTCTGGATATATTTAACAGAGTGGAAAGAGATCACCCCACAAAACTGATCAGTACAAAATACATATTTTGCTTCACACTGTTCAGGATTTACTAACATCACTAAAATGTGGCTGCTTAGGAGCTTTGTTCTAAATAATAGAAGTCTTAAATTTTAGCAAACATTTTGTTTCTGATTCAGTAGGGGGGAAAAAGACAATAGTTGATTTGTCTAAATTCCTTATGGAAGAAACTGGTGGTGGAGGGGGGTCATTGTATCTATTCTCTCTTTCCCTCCTCTCTAAACACTATACATCCCATTTTAATTTGCAGGCCCTAGTACTCTTCCAGAAACCAGGCATGAACTTACTTTTTACCAGAAATAACTAGATTGAGATATTTGATAACTAACCTTTAGAAAAATGTGATTTCAGCCAGTTATTTCTTACCCATGAAAAATCAATTAAGCTTAACAAAATACAGATGATTAATTATGCACCACACGTGTGAAAATAAAGCAATGTTCACTCTGTTAGTTTTCTAACTTGTCTGACAAGATGGCTTAAGGGTCTTTTTTTCTCTTCTTTCTTTCTTTCTTTTCTTTCTTTCCTTTCTTTCTTTCTTTCTTTCCTTTCTTTCTTTCCTTTCTTTCTTTCTTTCTTTTGTCTTGGGCTTGAACTCAGCCTGAGCACTGTCCCTGAGCTTCTTTGTGCTCTACCACTTGAGCCACAGCTCCACTTCTGGCTTTTTCTGAGTAGTTTGTTGGAGATAAGAGTTTCATATACTTATCTGCCGTGGTTGGCTTCAAACCACTATTTCATATACTTATCTGCCGTGGTTGGCTTCAAACCACTATCCTCAGGGCTCAGCCTTCTGAGTAGCCATTGGCACCCAGGAACTTGATGAGCTTTAAGAGAAATGTAGAGTAACATTAGAACTACCGTCTCTATATTAGTTTTGTTTGTTTGTTTGTTTTTGTTTTTTTGTGGGGGTCCGGTCATGGGGCCTGAACTCTGGGCCTGGACGCTGTCCCTCAGCTCTTCAGCTCAAGGCTAGGCTCTACCACTTGAGCCACAGCGCCACTTCCGGCTTTTTTCTTTTTGCTTATGTGGTGTTTAGGAATCGAACCCAGGGCCTCAGGCATGCAAGGCAAGCGCTCTACCACTGAGCCACCTTCCCAGCCCCTGTTTTTTTTTGTTTTTATGTTTGTCAATTACGGGTCCTGAACTCTGGGCCTGGGCACTGTCCCTTAGCTCTTCAGCTTACAGTGAGTGCTCTAGCACTTGAGCCACAGTGCCACTTCCAGATTTTTTTTTCTGCTTATGTGATGCTGAGGAATAGAGCCCAGGGCCTCATGCATGCAAGGCAAGCACTCTACCAGTGAACCACCTTCCCAGTCCTCTACATCAGTTCTACAGAGGCTTATGAAGATGAGTTTACTTTGCAGTTTAAAACCTTGTATTTGTTTAAAACAAGGTGTTTTGTGTATTCCTTGAGAATTGAACTCACCACTAAGCCACATCCCTCAGAGCTTTCTGTATTATTATCTTTAAGTAGTTATACAAAAGGGTTTCAATTCAACATGTCAGATATGATACAATGCATCTTGATTAATGTTACCCCAACCATTATTCTCCCCATCTCTTCCAACCCCAGTCATCCTTTCAAGTAACCTGGTTCCAGTTTCACATATGCACATGAAATATTATGACTGTATTCACCCATTCTTCCACTCTCCACTCACAGTCCATTCTTTCCTTAACCTCTCCCTCTCCTACAACATGTTTCAGCTTCTTAGTGTGCATTTTGTTAAAGTAAGTTGTTTAAAGGGGTTATGCCATTGGAATCCTCTTCTGAGTATAACATACTTCAGTCAATTTGTTTGGGCATCTATACATGTAATCCTGTATGCTTTTTAAAAAAAAATTGTTTTGAGATAATGTCGTGTATGAGTTGCCCAAGCTGGACTTGAACTCATTAGGTAGCCCAGTCAGGCTTTTTATTTATAATCCTGCCTCCAGCTCTCAAGTAGCTGGTATAACAGATGTGCACCATCACATCTGGCAAGATTCAGTTTAGTTTACAAAGACAGTGTGTGTACTCTATACATTTTGAGAACTCTATAGATTGAAAAACTAAATACATATGGTAGAAATGCTCATTTACAAATCAAAAATGATTCTTGATCTGTAGCAATCCAGATAGCCTATACATACATCTCCCAAATAATTAACTTTAACACAAAATGCTAATATATTAAGTGACACAATGGAACAGTGGAAGTTGTTAGAAAGAGGATCTTGGGCTGGGAAGGTGGCTCAGTGGTAGAGCACTTGCCTTGCATGCCTGAGGCCCTGGGTTCGATTCCTCAGCACCACATAAGCAAAAAGAAAAAAGCTGGAAGTGGCGTTATGACTCAAAGTGGTAGAGTACTAGCCTTGAGCTGAAGAGCTGAGGGACAGCGCCCAGGCCCAGAGTTCAGGATCCACAACCGGACCCCCTCCCCCCAAAAGAAAGAAGATCTCTAAATTATCTCCAGTTTTAAGATGCCTATGTCATTATTTGATTTAAGGAACTGGGGGCATACTGTGTCTAACAATTTTTTTTTGGTTGGTCATGTGGCCTGAACTCTGGGCTTGGGCGCTGTCCCTCAGCTCTTCAGCTCAAGGTGAGCGCTCTACCACTTGAGCCACACTGCCACTTTTGGTTTTCTGGTGGTTAATTGGAGATAAGAGTTTCACAGACTTCCCTGCTTGGGCTGGCTTTGAACCATGATCCTCAGATCTCAGCATCCTGAGTAGCTAGGATTGCAGGCATGAGCCACCTGCACCTGGCTTTAGTTTTCTTATTCCTAGCAGTTTCCATGAGATAGAGCAACACTCATAGTAGATCATGAGAGTTGTGCCCTTTAACAGACCTCTTCTGACATGTCTGTCATTTTCCATCATCCAGACGCTTACCACTTACCCCATCACAACCTTGTGCAGTGCTCCTACCGTGTACCGGATGCTTGTGCAGAAAGACCTTAAAAGGTACGTGAACACAATACTCCACCTGAGCCACAAATAGAAGCCATCACCTGGAACTCCTGTTGTCAGCACAGGACTGCTCAAGGTTTCTCAGTCTCCCCACTACTGACATTCTGGACCAAATACTTCTGTGTCCTGGGGACTATCCTAGCTAAAAGAGGGTGAGCAGCACACTGACTAGATGCATTGCATCTGCCTTCATCCAGCCTAGGACAAACTGCAACTAACTGTTTCTAAAGCCCTGTGACAATAAAAATCATATCCCAATTTAAAACATCCTCTAAAGCTAGATGCTGATGGCTCATGCCTGTAATCCTAGCTGCTCATGAGGCTGAGATCTGAGGATCATGGTCTGAAGCCAGCCTAAGTATACAAATCCAAGAGATACTTACCTCCAGTTAACCAAAAAAGAAGCCAGAAGTGGAGGTGTTGCCCAAGGGGTACAACACCAGCCTTGAACAAAACAAACAAAAGTACAAGGTCACTCAGTTCAAGCCCCAGGACTGGCACAAAATAAAATAGACTATTCTCTAGGAAAATGTAGGTATCTTCCCATTTACCAGAGTCCTGTAATCTCAGGACTATCATTAAAAATTTTTCTCAGGGCTGGGAAGGTGGCTCAGTGGTAGAGTGCTTGCCTTGCATGCATGAGGCCCTGGGTTCAATTCCTCAGCACCACATAAGCAAAAAGAAAAAAGCTGGAAGTGGCACTGTGGCTCAAGTGGTAGAGCTCTAGCCTTGAGCTGAAGAACTGAGGGACAACATCCAGGCCCAGAGTTCAGGTCCCATGACCGGACCCCGCCCCCACCAAAAAAAAATTCTCATTTAGTATGAGTGTGTGTGTGTGTCTGTGTGTGCCCAAGTCCTGGGTACTATCCCTGAGGATTTTTTTGCTCAAGGCTACCATCTACCACCTGAGCCACAGCTCCACTCCCAGATTTTTGGTTGTTAATTGGAGATAAAAGTCTCATAGACTTTCCTGCCTCATCTGACTTTGAACCATGACCCTCAGATCTCAGCCTCCTGAATAGCTAAAATTACAAGTATGAGCCATCAGCCCTTAGCTAGTACCACTTTTGGAAACACTCATTTAGAATCAGTCTCCTCAAATAAAACAAAAAATAAACCTATTTATACTGCCTTGGACAGAAATTAATATAGCCTTATGATTTTTTTTTGTCTGTCATAGGGCTTGAACTCTGGGCCTGGATGTTGTCCCTGAGCTCTTCAGCTCAAGTCTAGCATTCTACCACTTGAGCCACAGTGCCACTTCTGTTTTTCTGATGGTTAATTGGAGATAAGAGTCTCAAAGACTTTCCTTGCCCAGGCTGGCTTTGAACTGTAATTGATCCTCTGATCTCAGCCTCCTGAGTAGCTATGATTACCCTTATGATTTGAAAGTTATATTCAGTTTAACCAAATTAACTACCCATTCAGGAGAGTTTCAGTGTACATTCATAGAATAAATTATAATTCCATAAATGAGAAGAGAAAGGAAGAAAGAACCAATAAGAGATTTGCAAAGTTGTTCATCTTCCATTCCTACCAGTGTTTAAGATGCCCAGGAAGTGTGATAAAATAGAATAAAGCACCTATGTGAATCTCCCCCTTTTCCTGGTCTCTCTCTCTCTCTCTCTCTCTCTCTCTATATATATATATATATATATATAGAGAGAGAGAGAGAGAGAGAGAGAGTTTGCATTTCAAGGATAACTCAAAAGCTATTTTTAAGGATTATGGAAAATACACACAATTTGTGTCTAATCCACATCTTTCTTCCCATTTGGGACTTGTTCATATGAAAGTTTGGCTGTTCCAGGCTTTCTTACTCAAGCCCACTAGTTAAAACTCAAGCTTCGAATACAAATAGACAGCACTTTGCCACTTCTAATCATGTGACCTTGTACACTCAAGATGACCTCCATAAACTCCATCCATAAATAGATTGAGTCACTCCATAGGATTGTGACAGAAATTTGGTGTAAAAGACATACTAATGAGATCAGCCTGACAAGTGTTAAATGCACAGTAGAAAACATAGAACTCAGTATTTTATTATCTGTGAAGGCTTTAGCAAGTTCTTTAACTTCCCCAGGCCTCAAATTCCTCATCTGTAATATAGAAGTTGTGCTGAGATCTGAGGATCATGGTTCAAAGCCAGCCAGGGCAGAAAAGTCTGTAAAACTGTTATTCTACAAATAACCACCAAAAACTCCATAAGAGGAACTGTGGCTCAAGTGCCTTGAGCAAAAAGCTCAGGGACAGATCTTAGACTCTGAGTTCAAGCTCCAGACCAACACACATGCACAGACACACATATACAAAATAGGGGTTGTGAGAATCCTAAGAGTGTTCAAAAAGTCCTTACTGCAAGACAACTATCCAATTAATGTGGGCTGTTAACTCATTTATCTTATGAGTACTTAATATCATCATTAAAATTTTTCTCTACTTTTATCCCATTGATAACTAAATTCACCTCTTCCTTCCAAAATGTAAGCTTGTTCAGAAAACATTTATTCATCACTAATGTGCTTCACTTCACATGACTAGAACAATGCCCAGAATATAAGAGAGATTCAAGAAATATTTGTGGAATGAACTTTCCTAAGACTCAGTCTTAGCTGTTTGGGTTGTTGCTTGAATATCTGAATTATCTTACAGATAATAATCAGATTTTCCCCCAAAGACTAAGTACAACTCTGTCTCTCCAGATATAAATTCAAGAAGCTGCGGCACTGCTTAACAGGAGGAGAACCGCTCAACCCCGAGGTGCTAGAACAGTGGAAGATGCAAACTGGACTGGAGTTGTATGAAGGCTATGGACAGACAGAAGTGGTATATTTAAAGGGCAAAGCTTAAGTTTAGAATAGCTGTCCTTCAGAAGTTAGGGGAAGCCAGGTACTGGTGGCTCACACTTGTAATCCCAGTTACTCAAAAGGCTGAGATCTGAGGGCTGAGATTCAAAGCCAGGCCACCCAGGTAAGTCTGTGAGACTTTTATCTCAAGTTAATCAGCAAAAAAGTTGGTAGTGGAGGTATAGAAAAAGCTAAGGAATAGTGTGAGGCCCTTAGTTCAATCCCCATTACTGGCAGAAAGGAAGGAGGGAGGGAAAGAGAGAGGAAGGGAGTGAGGGAAGAAGGAAGGAAGGAAGGAAGGAAGGAAGGAAGGAAGGAA